TTTTTAAAAAATATATTTTTATTGATTTTTTTACAGAGAGGAAGGGAGAGAGATAGAGAGTTAGAAACATTGATGAGAGAGAAATATTGATCAGCTGCCTCCCGCACGCCCCCCCACTGGGGATGTGCCCGCAACCCAGGTACATGCCCTTGACTGGAATCGAACCTGAGACCTTTCAGTCCACAGGCCGACGCTCTATCCACTGAGCCAAACCGGTTTCGTCGACTTTTTAAATATTTTTATTTCTGCTCTATCCACTGAACCAAACTGGCCGGGGCCACAATTAATTTATAGGATTTTAAGATTGATTATTTTAAAAATATATTTTATTGATTTTTTTACAGAGAGGAAGGGAGAGAGATAGTTAGAAACATCGATGAGAGAGAAACGTGGATCAGCTGCCTCCCGCACACCCCCTACTGGGGATGTGCCCGCAACCAAAGTACATGCCCTTGGCCGAATTGAACCTGGGACCCTTCAGTCCGCAGGCTGACGCTCTATCCACTGAGCCACACCGGTTAGGGCTTAAAATTGATTTTTAGAGAGAGAGGAAGCAAGAAGGAGAGAGAGAAATACAATAGCGATAGGCTGCCTCCTGCACACCATCACACATACCCCTCTCCCCGTCCCAGGATCCTAACCAGGAGTGGAACCGGCAACCTTTTGGTGCCTGGGACACATCCAAACAGCGGAGCCACACTGGCCACGCTCATTTTTCTTTTTTTTTTTTTAGTTTTAATTAATTCACAGAAGGAAAAGGTGTATTTTCTCCATTTCAAGCCACGCTCCCCACCCCACCCCCGGCCTCCAACCCCGTCCTTGCCTTCCTTTCTGGGACCCTCTCCTCCTTCCCTTGAGCTCGTAACCATGCTAACCTCCCGCATGCAACAGAAATCTTCTGACCCCGTGTCACTGCAACCTCAGCGTACTGAAGGGCCTCAGGTTCAATTCCGGTCGAGGGCACGTACCTCGCCAGCCCTCACCAACCCATGTGTCGCTCTCAGCTTGCTGTGTTTCTCTCTCTGTCTCTCCCCTCTTTTCCACTCGCTGGGAAAAAAAAGAAAAAAGAAAATAATTTTGGTAAAACCTTACAAGTTTTGTCCTTTGGTGAGTGGCTTAACTCAGCACAGTGTCCCTGGGTCCATCGGCGCCATGTGGGTGTGGGAATTCCGCTCCCTCTGAAGGTGGGATAGATCCCCACTGTGCGGGGGGGACGCATGGCTTATTCACTCACCCACCGATGGACACGTGGCTGCTTCTGTCCTCCGTCCTGTGAAGGATGCTGCTCCGAATGGGAGTGCACACTCACCTTTTCCAGACACGGCTTCCCATTCCTTGTTATGTGTGTCCAGGAGTGGAACTGATGAATGAAAAGCACCTTCTTATTATTACGAGAGGGCCAGTGCACGGAATTCGTGCACAGGAGGGGGGGTGTCCCTCAGCCCGGCCTGCACCCTCTCCAATCAGGGACCCCTCAGGGGATGTCTGACTTGCTGGTTTAGTCCTGATCCCACAGGGATGACGGGACTAAACCGGCAATCAGACATCCCTCTCGCAATCCAGGAGCACTGGCTCCTAACCACTCACCTGCCTGCCTGCCTAATGCCCCCAACGGCCCTCCCCTGCTGGCCTGGTCGCCCCCGACAGGGAAGGGCAGTTGTGGGCGATCGGGTGGGGCCAAGTCGGGGGGAGGCGTCAAGGGCTCCAGGCTTCCTGTTATGAGATACTTACGTCCTGGGAACGTGAACAACATTAAAGGCACCTTTTCCCCATCCCAGCAGCGCAGGGTTAAAGGCAGCTAAAATCTCTGTGTCTCCCCCCCTTCTCCCTCCCCACTCCCCAGCTTCCCAAAGGATATCCCTGCGGCTGCCTTTGCTGACCACGTCCGCAAAAATGAGAAGGACAGCAATTGGGTGAGGACAGAGGGGCTCAGCTGAACCCCACATGCCCATCCAGACCTCCCCCCCTTGTTATTAAACAAAACCAGCGCCCAGTGCCTGTCCACTGGCACAGCCATCCTCAGGCTGACTGTGTCTGTGCGGTGGGATCTGTGGCCGGGCCCGCGTCAGCCCTGGAGACACACATCAGTTTTCCCCTGACACCCCCTCTCTAGGCGGCCCCCCTCTTGCCCCCACTGTCTCCTCAATCACCCCCAGTGCACACACGTTCCATTCCTGGGGACCCACAGACCTCCAGGGCACAAGGAGTAAATGGGGGGGGCGGCCAAGGGAGGCCGGGGGGGTCCTTGGGGGCAGCTGGAGGGACCCCTACACCGTGCACCCCCCCTCCTCTGCCTGCGCCGCAGCACCTGGCCATGGAGGGCCACGGCCAGTCTCAGACGGTGGCCTCGGCTCCAGAAAACAGCAACAAGAACCGCTACCGGAACGTGCTGCCCTGTGAGTCTGTCTGTAACGTTTTTACTGCTGTCAGAGCGGGAGGGAGAGGGAGGGAGAGGGAAACATCAGTGATGAGAGAGTCATGGCTCGGCTGCCTCCTGCACGCCCCCCCCCGGGGATCGAGCCCCGACCAGGGATCCAACCGTGACCTCCAGGTTCCTAGGTCGACGCTCAACCACTGAGCCACCCTGTGAGGCTTGAGCTGCTGCTGGCTTTGTCCGCAGGCATGACTTTGCCAGCTCCCTTTCCCCCTGGCCCGGCCCTGGCCCCCTGGGACATGCGGGCTCCGCCCCCTGGGAGCTCCGGGTGTCCGTCTGCCCCTCAGCCTGACTCCTGTCTCCCTCTCTGCCCGCCTCGCTCCTCCTCCCCAGACGATTGGTCCCGCGTGCCCCTGCGGTCCCTCGGAGGGGCCCCAGGCTCCGACTACATCAACGCCAGCTTCATGC